GATACATCAGTTGAACAATCTACAAGCTAACTGACACCTCATACAGAAGACTTTTGACATGGTGTTATTAGTAAGTCATTTTCTATAACTGTAACACCATTGGTCTCCATGCACAACTATAGTCTAGTTCTGGAAAATGACTGGATAATAACATCATCCAAGAATAGATCCAGGAATGGATATGATACACCTTATCAAGCTTGATAAATCATCAAGTAAAAAGTGTGCTTTTCATGAATGAAGTATTTAATTAACTAAATATTTTTTAACTTTTAATGAGTAAAATATTTACTTATGTCTATCACTTTATTTTCATTAAGATCTAGTTAAAAATTTCTTTCAACAGACATCTAGGTTTCCATGCTGTTATTATTAATTTATAGTAATATAAAATTCTCGCCCCTCTGTTTTAAAACAGAGATTTTTCTCTTTTTTATAAATATTTCCCAAGCGTAACAATAATTTGATAAAGAGCCTCTTTTGTATTTCGATATTTTTTTAGTCAGTCATTTATAAACACTCAAAAAAGTAACATGAGTTTGGAGTAGAGTTTCATTACTGAGATAAAAAGTTTTAAAATAACGGAATTGATACATAGTTGAGAGGTATAAAAAATTTTTTTTACCAACACTAATATTTAATTTCATGCAATAAAATTCAAAACTTTAATTGTAAATAATAAATAATAAAAAAAAAAGTGTAATAATAAGTATTACATAAAAGCTGGATCTTAAATGTTATCTTTTGTAATGAAAGGAAATTTTATGGTTTCATTTATGAAGACATTGGATGGACAAATATATCCTTGCATGATTATATCTCAAATCTGTTTTGTTTTATCAAACTTTAAATTATTATTTCAAATAATCTCTCATGTTTATACTGTGCATTAAGTATTATACTAGCTTATTTGCTGATCTTATTTGACAAATGTTCCCTATTATCCTGATCCTCTTTTGGTCATTTGAATATTTCACTTCAAAAATCTGTCTCAAGAGCAATGTAATTAAAATTACTTTTTCTTATCAGATATAAAATTCATTAATTTTTATCTGAACATCATTACAATTCAACACTTGTACGTTGAAAGTAAAAAAAAAAATGAAGACTGGGAGTGAGAAAAAATGATTCAAGTGATTTTGGAAAACATGAGATTTGCTGAATTTGAATTTCAAGTGTAGAAGAGATCTCTGGATGAATATACATCACTCCATCCCTCTTTTTGTCTGATCATAAATACACAGCCTACTGGCTGACATTGTGTGCCGAGCGTTTTCTCTCTTTGACAGAGTGCCAGGAAGTGATAAACTGAAAAAAGCATTTCCATCTTGCTATCTCTCAAATACACTTTTTGTCTTTAACTTTTATACGGCTTATTATGCTTTATTTTTTTATTTCTTCATAGAATTGTACTTTTTTAGTTTTTGTTTAGTTGCAGACTTTTTATTTGGAACAATTACACAATAGGAGAAATGTTATTATTGAATTCCAACGTCAACACAATTTTGCTGAATTTATGCAGATATGAACACTTGCCAATATTCGAAAATGTTAGAATTATTTTGTTACATGATTATGCCTTTTCTGTGGTTAAAGGTCCTCGGGCAGTAGGTTGTTCAAAGCACAATTAGTTTTGAGCTTACAATCAAGTGCAGTGAGGTAAGTAAATAAATGTTTATAAAGTTATTTTATTGTCTGAGAAGTGTATTGTTTTAATGAATTATCAAAATAATTTAATAATGTTTAAATGACTTTAGAATTAATTACTTTACAATTAAATATTTTACAAAAAGTAGTTGAATAAATTTGGGGTAAAACTTATTTGACATTGAGGGTAAATTAAAGACAAGTCAGAACTAGGGGAAAATTTTTTCTACTTGAAATAAAATTACTTCTCAAATTTATGAATGTAATTTAATTGGTCTTTACATGGTAGAAAGAATTGAGTAAAAATTATCCACAATATGGAGTAAAATTTTACCCAATATCTAGATTGGCTTAAATTGCAGAAAAAATTTTTACTTCTCTTTCCGTTCTGTTCAGACATGACTCAAAGAAATTCTAAATCGATTAAACTTGAGGTAAAAATAAATATTTACCCTAATCATTTTTACTCCTTAAATATTTTTAATGCAGTCAAAATTTTATTCGAATTCAAATCAATAAAACAAAATGACTCGTTCCCGAAATACAATTTAAATCAGACGAAAATCTCAATAATTGATCATCAAGAATATTCGACAAGATATAATTCTCTAATTACTTTAAATTAAGTCAATTACGAATGCACTGTCAGTCATTATATTGAATTAGCTTAAAAATACTATAAATAATAAAATTCAATAAAGAAAAGAGCAGCACTCAATAATTCTTAGAACAAAGTCAATAACCTCAAAGTAAATCTGCATGTATCTGACACAGGTAAAATTTTAATACACAGAAATTCTCGTCACTTTGGTAATCTCCGACTGGTAATTTTGAATCGATCGATTCGCTTGTGACTATTGAACCAAAAACCCGAATTGTATTGCACGTAGTGTCTACGTATAAGGGAGTAACAGCATGGTACAACGTGTACGGTATAAGTGGGGGGAAAAACACGAGACTGCAGCTTGAAAGCTCGAGAGAAAGAGACAAGGGGAAAAATAGATACTAGAGAGAGAATTAGATAGAAAGAAAAAGGAAGTGGTGAGAGAAAGATAAAAAGGTGAAAGAGTAGGAGGAGTTGAGAGAGAGAGAGAGAATAGGAGAGGGAGAATAAGAACATAAGGGAAGAGTTGCGCTCGCGCGAACTGAGTTCATCGACCTTTTGACAGTCATTCGTTGGAGTAAAGCACACACGCGGGCGAGAAAATAGCATGTTGGCCATCTCTCACTACTGTTGGATTTTCTGTGGAGTTAATAAGTTATATTTTCTGGCAATCTAATTCATTTATTTATCTTGTCATCTGATAATTAACGGATAAATTATTGTATTTTAGTTCAAAGAAAATTCAACACTGCTATTGATTTATTGAGTTCAAGTTGATTTAATTATTCAGTCGATAAATGATTTCATAGATTTCTTTTCAGTTGGTTGCAGAGTTTTTTTTTTTAATTAAAATGTAATAAAATATTGTTTTGATTAACAGTATTTTTCAGGAATTAAAAACAGTAGAATTTTGAATTTTATAGAAAATTAAATGGTTTTGTGAAAATAATGAGTTTAATTGTTTTTTTTTATGTATCAAAATGAGTTTCAGAATTATTTTTGTAATTTGAGCAAACTTGTTTTTGTTGATATTTTTTTTTTTATTCACTGTGAACTCGATGAAAACTAAAATATCCATTGGATATTCATTTTCTTTCTACAGAATAATTTTACTGTCATGTCTGTGCTTCAATTAAAAGAAAATAAAACATTTCTTGATTTATTGACAATTTCTTTTCAATTATTCTGATTCACGGAACGTTAATAAATTATATGTAAAGTCGATATTTACACGGAAACTTTGTGCTTTAATTCTATACATAAAAAGCAAAAAAAGGATTAAAACTAAAAGAAAAACATTTTTTTTTTTTAATTAAATTAATAATCTAATTTTAATTAACTTTTAATTTCAACAGTTTTAACAATTAATACTATTAGGCAATCAATGATTACTAAATTCGTATTAAAACTGAAGGATAAATTTTTACCTAATTTCCTTTTAGTACGGAGTAATGATAAAATTGAACCTACCACTGCTGACTGTTTTTCAGATAAATGAAGCTTACATGAATGTCAACTCAAAAGCACCATCCAAATGGTGTAATCTCAACCAATTGAAAATGATGGAATACATTTTTCTGCCCTGCTCAGCAAATAATAATTCTATCTGCAAATAACTACCTGGAATCAATGAATACAGCAATCTCCACCAACTACCTAGAAATTTCCTGGTATAGATCCTAGACGACTCGTCCTATTCACAATGTAAAGCCATTACACTCTTTCTTTAAAATTGTTTACTATATCAAAAGTTTAGGAACTCCTGTAAAAATAAAATAAATAATAATAAATAATATTTAGTATAAAAACAATAGAATGTGGATAATAAAATAGCTAATACTTTGAAATATATTTTAATTCGTGTAGACATGTTAGTCCAGTCAAACTTATTCTTAAAGCTCAGAAAACGACTTGAATGATTCCTATAAAAGCATTCTTCTTCCAATACTAAACAAATTCATTTGGATACCAAACTCATGTAAATAGAATAGTCAAACTGTTGTTTTATATATATTCAGCAAAACCATATCATCAAATATGTGGCAATAAATTCTTGGAAAACAATCTTCTCCATCTGGCAATTGAGAGAAAAAAAATATCCAAAATACTTTTCACTGCTTCTCTTTGATTTTTTCTCTCTATCACACTCCAATCCAAACTAAATAAATATTTTTTCCTCAAATGAGAGTATTTTTTGTTCAAATATTCTGACGTGTTGTGTGAAAGCCGAAGAAATTCAATAAATCAAAAGCACACTGATTCGTTATTTGAGGTTGAGTACAACGCATCGTGAATAAATGAAATTTTTGGAAACATATAATCGCAAACGATTGACTCCAATATTGAACCATAAATATTCTTGAACGTGTGAACGAAATGAAATACCAAAGCAATAATTTCATATTTTCTATTCCACTCATGTATATTTTTGAGTTTACATCGTCATGACGACGGAGATGGTTAGACAACACACTGCACGTAACGGAACAAATACAACAAAAAGTGTCTGAGCAATAGAGGTCGTTAGATACACACGATCACAAGTATTCTTTTCCTCCTCTAGAGTATTTTCTCCCTCGTCCATTGCGCTTTGCTTCCTCGATGTCGTTGTCTCTTTCTTTCGGTTAACGTTTCTCTCTCGCTCAGTACAACGTTCGGCCACCCGAAAGTACTCGAACATCACCGGAAAAACTCGATAGCGTCGCGAGGGCAACCACGTTTCTACCCTCAGTGTGCCGTGCGGGTGGTTGCACTGCGAACGCGTTTTATTCACGCGCCTCAATGTTTTTGTATTCCCATAAACACATATCTTTTTACATCGTCAATCTCCTTCCTTCTTATTTTCTCGTTTAGTTTTTCTCTTTTGGATATTCTTGATTGTTGTCTGTTCTACGAAAATAATTTTATCCGAGTTACGCGAAAAAAGTTTGTCAACTGTTGCCGGTTTTTTTATATAATGCGTCTCGACATTGGGACTCTAGTGGCCAAAAGTAATTAAAAAGTGAATCTTTTCTAAGACTCTATGGGAACAAATTAGTGTCAACGTGTATTAAGGTAGGATTTAACTTTACAAATTACTTTTGTGATGTGTAAATAGTTTTTTTTTTTTGGTTTAAAAGTTTTCTGCTAAAACAACATTATGTTGGTGAAGATTTTTTTACGTATCTCCAACTAAAATAAAAAAATAATACATAAATGAAGTGAACTAACGCCTTTGAATTTAAGGTTGAAAAGAGTCTCATTAATTTATCGAAATAAATCGATAGGAATTTTTTGTTCATATTTTTCATTTTCAATGTTGGTATTCCAATTCATGGAAAAAAAATTCGACGCATTTCTAGTGAAATTCATAAATTATTTTTTCTTTGAATCAAAAATTCATATCATCATGTTTTATTTCTTGTATACTTTATCGATACAATATTTCTCATATACAATAAAAGTGTTTTAAAATGAATTCGTCGTTGTCTTTGGACTAGTGAGCTTTTTATTTACATGATCCACGTGGTGTAGTATCGGTAAACTGGAGCACGCGATAAACCTAAATGATAAATTGCGTGTAGAGTTAATCAGTCGATCGTAATACAATATGGTCACTTTTACCTTTATTTGTCTTATACACTTGGTAATATTAATTAACAATTTAAATATCATTAATATTTAATTAATAATATTAACATTGAAACCAGTTAGTTTCTTCTTCAATTAAATTTACCATATTTTATGTAACTACACTCTGGAGACCAAAGTATCATTAAAAAGATCTAATTGAGGTCAATTGTTCTTCTTAAATTATCAGTAAGAGAAAAAAAATTTCTTTTTTAAAGTTAAGGAAAATTTTATAAATATATATTTTTTTCGTGAATTAATAAAATCATTTACTCAATTTTGCTAACGAATCTTCCTTCTAACACGAAAAAAAATTAATATTTCTTTTGTTGGTATTGGAATATGTTAATGAAAGCTTTTAATCAATTTATTACACATGAAAAACTCTTTCTCAATAATTCTTAATTAATTTTTTTATCAACATTTATCGGTTAGAAGTTAAAATATTAACCTTCTTCGAATTAATTAACAGATATTCAGATATAAAAAAATAAATATTAATGACATTTTACGCTAGTCGTTAAAGCTGAGATTATGATAGATTGACAGCTAGAATAAATGAAGGAACCTTGTTGATTATAAATATCATTAAAGTTTTTTTTTTTTATTCATTAGAAATTTTTTTTTTTCTTCTAAGGGTTGATATTTCTAATTAATAATTAATGATTAGTTTGAAAGATAAATATTAAAAAATTATTGGTCTTGAATGTTTGAAGTACTTTAAAAAATTAAAACACAAACTTTTCGTGATTATATAGTTATATACTCACTGCTAAAATGTAATCTTATTTTTCTTTACCATTCGCGTTAATACTTCATAAAGCTGCATAGTGTTTCTATGGAAGCAAAGTTTCCTTTGTTACTTATTCCTGAGACCAGCCAGGTATAGTGAAACTTCCGAGCTCGGAACTGGAATTTACCAACACTGTAATAGCTGAGAATAAAGATTAATGAATATTAGGATCATGTATGGACAAGATAACACGTTATTCCTTTAATTAACTTCTCATCGTCAATTAGTGGGTTCGATAATGATGGGAGATTTAATATTGGATCAAGATGTTTATTTTGGAAAAATTAAAAAAGGTTGGGTGGTAAATTGTTGCTAGGTAGATAAGTTGATAAAGTGTTAGTTATTATAAAGCTCATATGCAAACATAAATTTAAGATAATATTAATATAATCTTGTGAGCAGAATATCATTAGAGATTGAGCTAGTCACGAGCTAGGCTATGATAGGAATACCTGAGGTTTTATTTGGAAGATCATAATCATCTAGTAGCTAGAAATTATTTAAAAATAGTTACAACAATTTTTTCTTATTATAAATTTGTAATCAAATGAACACAAACTAATACTACAATATCTTTCAAACCTCTTTGAAGCCTTTAGAAGTTAAAGTTTCAAAAAATCCATGGAGGTGGATAGCTAGTTGTTGAAGATAGACAGACTTGACACTTGAGTGGATACTTCAAAGAAGTACTAAATTAATCTTTGCTAATTAACTTATAATTTCTCACTTCACTTTATTCAATACAAGTTGCTGAACACACTAAACACATTCACGCCTGAATGTCAGTGGAAGACTGACTGTTCAAAATGTCTTCAAACATATTTTAGCTCACTTTACTCATGGAGCTTTATTTCTTATTTTATGACTCAAGCTTCCAAACATTCAGATCATTCTTGCACTCAGTTCACGTAGTGTTGGAGGATTATATACAAAATGCGGTAACATGCTGCAGTTGTAGACTGGATTTTGACCATCAACATCATCAGAATTACTTGCCAAATTCATCTAGTGTTAAGGTCTCTTCATTACTTCATCTTCTCCTTCGTGTTTCGAAGCCGATTCGGATGTGGTTAGAGAAGGTCCTTCACCTGAAATTATACTGAGCATAAAATTATCGAGAATTAAATCAATGGAGGAAACTTATCATGAAATTGTTCCCTTACCATAGACTATATAGTTATTTTTTTTTTTTTTAAATAAAAAAAAATAAATCAATTATAGAAAGGTAAATTTAACAGCTAAATGGGTTTTTGCAGATAGATAGTCATCTAGAGCATTTGTAAGGTGTTGGTCATGTGAAATGGAGTTCAACATGAGCAGAAGGTTATCAGAAATAATAACTGCTAGTTAGAATCATATGGAAAAGGTTAATAAAAAAGATCACCATCATAGTAGACTATTGATTCTATATTCAGTGACTGCTCATATTGGTACTCCATATTCAATTACTGTTCTCTAGTCCCTGATTCAAGTATCAATTACCTTACAGAACTAAAAACTTTCTTGATAGCAAGAGGCGTCCTTCTGCAAGACAAGTTGAATGGGAGCAAATGTAAATAGGATAACTGGGGGATAAGTAAGTTCTATTAAAAGGTCAGTAGCAATGACTAGAGCAACAGTAATTGTATAAGAGAAAGGGTAGAGTATTCAGAGTGTGAATGATGCAGAGAATAAGTCAGCATTTATTAAACTACACTCCTGGCTGAGTGAGAATGTTTGCTTAGCCCACATTAGGTTCCAGTTAGACAGCAAATTTGTCATGAGATGTTGAATGATCTTTAAGTATACCTAACAAACATTTCCACGCAGTTAGCAGTTGATGTATTGAACTCTTCATCATTAAGAATAACTATCATTTCTTCATATTTTAATATCAATATGCTTCAATTCTTGCATCAGTTTTCTGCTTGAAATCCCGCTAGCAACAATGATGTTGATAATGAGGACATGCTTATTCCATAACTCTCTCTCTCTCTCTCTCTCAATCTTGGTGCTTTTTAAATCATTTGGATCCATCAAGAAAATCTTATCAATTTAAATCCACAAAAAATTAATCTTTCAGTCTATATAAATATCTCAACAATCAATTGAATCTCCAATCTCATTTCTTAATATACCAGATCATCATTAACGTTAATGAAAAAAAATATTTAAAAAAAAAGGAATTTAATTATTGAAATAACTATCTTATGTTTTTATATCTTAAAATCATTAAGTGAAAAAATTTATTCAACTATTCTTAATGAAGAAGAAGATTGGATATGCAGTTATTGTTTAACAACTCTATAACTACAATTTCAAAATACTGTGTTTTCAAAGATTTGCGGTTAAACAATATCAAGACAAAAACTATTACAAAGTTAAAGTATATGACAAAGTAGAGCAAGTTTACTTTACCATTAAAGTTTCCAGCCACTAATTGAATTTTCAATCTTTTTCATCTCACTGTTGATGTACAAACTAAAAATGAGCAAAAATTTATTATCATACCTCCATGTAAAAAAGTTTAGACAATATTCTTGAAGCAATCAAAAAGATAGAGAGCATTTTTTTCTTTTATTCAACTCATTTTTTTTCTCCATCTTAAGCTCAAATGGTCTTTTACGTTGGTGCGAGAATCACCTCAGGACAGAGAGACTGAAAATGCCATGTCATGCTAGCAGAAAGGGACATTAAGCATTGAATGGTCAGACATAAGAGCTCTGAAACATACAGATGTATGTGTTTTACTTACTTTTGTGAGATTTAGTAATGTTTCTTTTCAAGATGATGAGAATAAGTATAGTAGGTCAAGATTAGAATATGACAAAAAAATTTTCCTCAAGCTTAAAGCAGAAATGATTAATTCAGGTCTGTTATAGTGACAGTAAAAGTGTGAAATATTTTGTCGTTTCACTGAAACTTTTGTCAAATGTCAAAGATATTTATAGCTAGTTATTATTTGCTGTTGAAGAATGTTCATTTGTTTTTTTCCACTTTCTGTAATTAAAAATTTTTGCACAGAAGAAACATTTTCTTTTCTGATCAATAACTGGTGATGGTAAATAAACTTAGTATTTTATTCTTAGCTTGGAGGGAAAAAATATTGACATTATTGTATTTGTTCAATATTTTTGGCTTCTGATAGTTTAATAAAAAATAAAAAGTTATTGTATTTTGTTGTCTATTTTTGCTTGAAATGATAAGTAATGATACTTTGAAAATTGACATCCAGTCTGTGCTGTCATGACTTTATTGCAAGTCTACTGCTGTGTTATCGTTGAGTGACTTTATCTCTTTAGGAAACTTACACTGATGACATAAGTTGTTTGCTTCATGGGAGGCACTTTGAAAGCTTTCACCGTTATTATAGATTTCAAGATTTCCTAGAAAATTTGTTGCTTTAAATAACTATTCTATTTATAATTAGCTGAATAACTTAACAATGCTTATTGTTTCTAAGCTCATTTATTTATTCAAGTATAGTAATGTTTGCTTATTGCTTCTTCTATATAAACATGATATCTCATAAAGATAAATAATTCTCATTATTAAAAATCATCATTGATAAACCATTAAGAAAATAGTGTTCATAGTTATTATTTTAGTCATGGTGCAATTTAATTAGCAGCTCTAACCTTTTATTTTGCAGTAAAGTTTTTTTTATATCAAA